CTGAGGAGAAATACCCACAGCCAGTCTTCAAAAGACCCAGGCAGGGTTTACCCCATTTTAGGAACTGATGGAAGGACGGGACAGCAGCAGCGACAGCCACGTTTTCTACAGAGCCCGTATGCAGGCAGTGGAGGTGTCGCCTCAGCCCTCTCCCCAGGCTGAATGGGCTCAAATCCACACCTCGCAGAAGAGTCCCCTGATCACCATGAAGATGAAGGATGGGAGCACTCTTCTGAAGCTGTGCTGCTCTACAGAAAATCATTAAATGCAAACCGGTAGCATGAATCCTAGCGCTCAGCAGATTCAGCAGGGACATAGAAATGCATTTGGTCTCTAAGGACTGTTTCTAAACTCTTCTTGGGTAAAATGCATGACTCCACCTCAAGAGAATACCTGTTTCACCTGTTGCCTGAGGTAACACCCCTTTCCACCTGCTGTCCAAAGACTGTTGTATGCACTGGTGGGAAGCAGAGGCGAAGCAGGTAATACAAAACAAAATATCCTAGTTCTCCGGTGGAAAACAGAAGCACAGAGGAGTGAGGGTGTGTCATCGTGCAGCGTGGGGATGATGAGCAGCATCCCCATGCGAAGAGCTGGGCCAGCCCTGCAGAGCCGGTGCACAGGGGAAAGCACTTATGCCCTGGAGAAGCTGACTGCCACAGGCTGCTGTCAGGTGTGTTAAGCAATCTAGTGAGGCAAGCTGCGTATTGGTGCTGTTAGGGCAAAGGCTTGCAAGGTTTACTACTGTGCTTCCCCTGAAACTGAAGTTGGCACACCCCCTCTAAACAATAGAATAGCTGGTTTTCAGCATGGGGTTCCTGTCCTGTCAGTCACTTCCCTTTGCTCACTGACTGCACACCCTACAAGACAGATACGAAATGTCCAGCAGAAAAGAGCTCTTTTGTAAGGCTTTGGACAAAATAGTTCCTGAACACTCCTGTTACGCATGAGAAAGACGTCCTGTAACAGCATTTGAAGGAGCTCTGGCATTTGCCCAGTTACTTTGCCAGCCTGCCTGCAAATACATTGCATGGCTTGCAGCAGAGACCCATGCTGCTGGGAACCATGCAGAGGAGTAGTCTGTCAGTTTGGCTCAAGTCACGTTACAGGTTTACCTTTTCTTCTGAAATAATTATTTATTAGTGCCTCTCTGGGGGAGGGCAGCAGGTGCCCAATACTAGCCAATGTGTCTGAAGTGTTACCAGTATGGGAGTGAGTTAGTCTGCCTTTGAACCGCAGCCGTACACAAAATAAACGACAAGAACTAAAATATTGTATTTCTGAAAGGAGAAACTATATATTAGGAATGTTGTTGTCAACTTCAAATGTGGGTCTACATTAATTACCTACCGAGCAGCTAACTCTACTACAATGTTGTGTCTCAACGCAAGAAATGTTTTGCATGCTGCTTCTTGATTATGAAATGTTACCAGTTACAAACATGCTGGGGGAGAAAAAGCTGTGTAGGTATTTGGGGACGGATGGCTCGTGAGTCAGTTCTTAGGTGGCATTTTGGCTTTTGTCCTCCCAGGGCGCTGGGTCGCTGCTGCTCCGGCAGTCAGCGGAGCGCTGGTGGATCCCTGCAGCGGCCCTACCCGAGTTGGTCTGTTTACCAGGCTGGGCGGTTGTTTGGGTGTTCTGGTAACAGCCTTGAGCAGTAAAAAAATAAAATAAAAATACTGTGCGCATCTGAAGGAGAGCTGGCAAAACTGTTTTAAATTGCTTTTCCGATCTAGTTGAGAGCTTGTGTTATGAAGTGTAGAAATGGCCCACAGCTCTCCCTAGCTAAGCAGTACACTTCTGTATTTTCAATGGGGTGAAACGTCCGGGCAGATCTCACAAAAAAACTTGCTTATCCGTCGGACAAGAAACTGCACTGCATATGACAACTTCATGCTATACAGAGCAAGAGGACTTAGCAGAAATTACTAAACAAGTTTTGAAAACTAAGGCAAAACCAAAATTCTTGGGTTTTGGTTTAAGTCTTGCGATATTCGGTGCGCCTTAAAGCTCCATCGCCTAGAGGCCTGGCATGAGAACATGCAAGTTTCCATCGCAGAAGGGGCAGCGGAGCAGCGCTGGAGAGGGCGAAGCCCTCTTTACTGCGAAGATAAGGTGCGTCCTTGCCACACACGGGCTCGGCAGCGCGGCC